GCGCCAGGTCATAAAGCTCGGTCTACGCAGTCTTGGTTGGAAACGAACGTTTCGGACTTCATCAGAGCTGAAGACTGGCCGTCGTCTAGTCCCGATCTTAATCCGCTGGATTTATGGTCAGTTTTAGAGAGTACGGCTTTCTCTAAACGCCATGATAATTTGGAGTCCCTAAAACAATCCGCACGATTAGCATTGAAAAATTTTCCCATGGAAAGAGTGCGTGCTTCTATTGATAACTGGCCTCAACGTTTAAAGGACTGTATTGCAGCCAATGGAGACCACTTCGAATAAGCTTTTTATACTTTAAATTGTTTTATATTTATGTATTAAACTAACACACTGTAAAAGTAATAAATGTTATTTGCAATAGAATTTTTTTTTCCTTTGTTTCAGTATTTATGGCAAGACTAGGTATATTGTTGCTCCTTATATTGCTCCTTAATTAATTTAATATAATATAATAACTTTGTATGATGGCAAATGTTTGGGAACGAACGCATCGAAAATTTGAATTTTACCGCGCCACACTCGCGCGCGCTTTTTGACTACGTAACGGAACCTCAATCGGAATCGGAACGACTAAACTTCAACATATCATAACATAGTTCTAAGTTAAAAAACTAAAATTTCTTTATACCTTTAATGTGCTTATACCTTTAATGTGATTATAATAAAATACCTACTTTTTACTTGTATCTATTGTTATCAAAATTAAATTATAAGTTCTTGACTTGACCATGACTATGTGACCCCCTCCTGGCACCAAAGCTGGATCCGCCCTTGTGAGGACTGGATATACATATCCCTCTTGAAACACCGTGGAGGGTAGTTCATGTCACAGCCGAGTCATGCGTTGCCAAAACGATGCGAAAGGTTTCTGGTATCTAAGGATGAATTCTACTCCGCTGGCGGGTAGTGCGATGCTAAAAAAGAGATGTTGGCATCATCTCGCACTTCTACTTCCTTAGAATCCTCACATCTAGTTCCTTTGAATCCTTATTTTTAGCAACCATAATCTACAAAAAATCCATCTTTTTAACAGAATCGCCTGAAGAAGCTAGAGATAATGAACGTGAAATACATTTCCTTAAAATTTAATGCAATTTCATCAAATAATCCTTTAGCTTTTCCACACCGTCTTTTGTCTATTTCGGTCTAGTTAATCTACAAAACGTAACGCCATATCTATATTTGGTTTAAAGGAAAGTTATCAAAAAAATCTTGGTGTTTTAAAGTTATTCCGGAAAACAGAAAATGACATTCACAATTAAAATCGCAGTGTGTGTATACTGCTGCCATCTATTAGTCAATTTAGCAAAATTTCAAACGAAATTTAGTCGTTAGACAGTATAATATTTTCATCTGATAACAGATGGCAGGTGATACAAAACCTCTTCAAATTGAAATTATTCGACAATAGATGGCAGGTTCTTCATCTTGGCTTTTTCTAACTTTACCGTATTCCCAAATTTCCTCAAAAAATAGATTTCAATTTATTTAAAGCAAAATTTGTTCGGTTCCTGGAGTGTAAAAGATATTTCCTTCTACTAGAGACAGATATTTACTAGAATTTAAAGTATGTATGACTGCAGTCGATTATTAAATCTTATCTGTGCATTATGCTGCCCGTGATAAAAATTCCATCGTAATCTTGTTAAATTCAAATTTTCTACTGAAAGAACGGTTTAGTTTTTAAAACTGAATTTCATACAAAAACTATTACACATATGTACATTCAATTATAGTGAGATTATTAAAAAAATGCTACATATGCGTTTTCTTAGTATTTTTGATTAAAAAAGTTTTTATTATCTTAGATGAGTAGATGAGGTCACGGCCCACCTGATGCTGTAAAGTGCCTACTGGAGCCCATAGACATCAATATCGTAAAAAACACCTACCTTGAGACATGAGTGCTAAGTCTCAATTTTATAGAACGTCTGCCGTACCCTTCAAGCCGAAACGTATTATTGCTTCACGGCAGAAATTGGTAGGGTGGCAGTATCACTCACAAGATACTCTACTATCAATACTGTTCTGGTACTCGATGGCGCAATAGTAACTGAAAGTATTACATGTTATAATGAATGGTTTGAAACGAACTCCAAGAAACTGATTTTTCTGGAGATATTGTAAATAAAAATGGTCACACTTTAATTATTTTGGCTATCTCTTTCTTAGATGAGTAATAAAACGAGATAGAGCATCTTTTGACACTTACTCCATTTTTTCTGTTCTGATTTCATCCATCCAGTGCCTCGGAAAGGAAGGAACGGTGTAATGAACTGTTATGTGTTTACCGAAATGTGTAGTGTTTTGTTTATGAATTAAATATTGTTTAGTTTACATTAAATTTAACAAAAGCGAAGCAACAAGGTGAGTAAACTATGAAATATGGGTGTATAACACACCGTAGAGAATAGGTCATGTGAAATTTAATTTTGCTTCAATTTCGGCATGATTCTCTGAAAGTAGAGATACGGCGCTTCGCTACATTTAGTTTTGTGGTGAAGATTGTAAATTACATTCATATAACTTTATTTGATACTTTTTATCACAAAAATATCGGTGATGACTTATATCAAGGATTGTTTTAACGTAATGTAAATTAAATGCAATGATTATTCACACTATATAGTTCCGAATTACCTATAAGCACCTTCATTGAAAATTACGTGATGCAATTGAACAACATTTGCGTTTTGAAAATTACTTTAAGTCTTATTCCTTATTGCCAAAATCTCAGTTGATTGCTCATAGTAAATATGACTTTTAATTTATATTACTCATTCTCCTTAAAGATAACCCGCTTCCTAGTTTAAAGTCGGTTTACTTAACAACAATACTGATAATATTATTGAATTGAATTAATTCCATACCAGATGTTATAATATTTTAAAATGTTTCTGGAAACCATTTAGGTACCCAATCATCAATTATCTATAAATAAATGCAGGGTAAAAGTAAATATTTTGGTATGTATTTATTGTATTCAGGAGATAAACTTGCCTGTATATAATGATTAATTAATTTTACACTTAAATTAACTTTACTGGTGGTAGGACCTCTTGTGAGTCCGTGTGGGTAGGTACCACCACCCTGCCTACCTCTGCCGTGAAGCAGTGATGCGTTTCGTTTTGAGGAGTGGGGCAGCTGTTGTAACTATACTGAGACCTTAGAACTTGTATCTCAAGGTGGGTGGCGCATTTACGTTGTAGATGTCTATGGGCTCCAGTAACCACTTAACACCAGTTGGGCTGTGAGCTCGTCCACCCATCTAAGCAATAAAAAAAAACTTAATAGAATTATTACAATACTTTCATTAATGAAATTAGAATGAAAACAAATTAGCATTTTATCTAAGGTAAATGCAATTTTTTCTTTACATTTAAAATTCACTTTGTACATATGCAAAATCTCTTTTTCTAACCTACTCTTAACTGATAACAAATTTTACAATCATAGCCTATAAAAAGCTACTAAATCACCTATCTTTATCAATTGTGAGTAAACAATTATGACTAATTTGATTGTCATGCTTCTACGATGCTGATAATAGAAAAATAATAATAATATAGCTTACTTTAACAAATTTTTATGTAAAGACAAAAAACCTCACGACCCATCTAGTACACAGGTAAGTCATTACTTTGGGCTAAAAATTGGCTTACCGTATTTATTATCTTATCTCTTATAGAGGTTACTACAATGAAAGGTGGATGCTGATGAAGTATTAATGAATGAGGAAAATAAACAATGGAATAAATAATTGTGTAAAATAATTAAAAAGACAAATCCTATAAATAAAAAAGATTCCCAGTTTTACTTTGGGTTATATACATAGAGCAAACACAATACTTTCATCAGTTTTTGCAGGTCATATAGACATCTAAAACTACTTCACAATTTATTATTTATGACATTTCAAATAATAAATTAAAGATATTTTGAGATTAAATCTTAAATATATTGATACTTAGGCAGACTTCTAATATTGATCTAGAAATGGTTTTTATAAGAATTTGGCACACATTTACAATATACAACCGAGCAAATTCATCGAAGATTTGCCTATAACTACAATATTTTCATTAACTTCAATGACAAAGTAAGAAAAATATAGTACATATTTTTAAAGAACGATATCTGTAAATTTATAAAGCTATCAGGCTAACTTTATTTTCGGTCACAAACAATGCTAAAGATCAGGCACTGGAGTAAAAAAATGATAAAATTTGTTACTATACAACAAAGACCTAATTATAATTTATTTTCATCTACTATAAATGTGGGCGTGAAGTGTTCTATAAATATTGTTTATATGTTTGTTACCTTATCATACAAAAATAGCTGAACGGACTTGGATGAAATTTCACAGAAACATTACCTTAATTAATGCTTCCTTTTTTCATGGCATGGGTATAGGAGCTATAATAAATTCGAGAGTGTGACACAAGCTACTATTTATCGTGGTAAAATGCAACTTTTTCATTACATATCAAATGCAAATTATCATTGGCGAGATTGAGAAGAATTTATATGTATTTTTATATATTTGCTTAAGGCTACAAATTATAATTTACACAGTTAATTTACTATTTAAACACAACGCTTAGTGTATTCAACTTTGTTATGAGTAAAATATGAACTCATCATTTTACAAGAATAGGTGGTGAAAGTTCAATGATCTCACCTGTAGTAATGTGAATACATATTGGTTGCCATGTGTTGTTCATACGTCGGCACTTGGATTCGGGTCGCATGCATAAATATTTCATAACCAACTATAAATATAAAGATTTGTTTTGAAGTTTTTCTTGTATATATACAAAAATGAGGTATTTTTTTTTAGATATTTCGATGCTTCTCCTAACTGATAACGGTTGTCCCACCCTTCAAACCAGAACTCATATCTGCTTTAATAACTACCGGTATGACCTCACGGTACGACTCTGTCACAATACCGTAAATATTTTAATTTTCATTTATTTTCAGAGTTCGGTTATCCGCTTGAGCATTTCTCAAATTCAGAATAATCACGTAAATAGCTCTAATGACACATAGAAAATTGTGGTCACTTAATACCTGGTGTGTTTTGTCTGAATAGCGTAAATTATAGTGACCTTATACATATAATTCAATGTTTAAACTTATAATTGTAACAAAATATATAGAAAATAATCCTATTAATGAGATGTGAAACTAAATTTACAAGAATTCAACAAACAAAATTTTACATTTTATCTGCGTAGTTTTTATCTTGCGTTATAACTGCGGCCACCCAGTTTTAATCTTGGTGTAAACTTGTGGATCGACTGGCGACATTAAGTCCCGGATATGATGGCCGTATCAACATATGATTGCATAATGAAGAAACACAACGGTTTATTTAGCTGTAGATAGGAAAGCGAGATCACGACCCACTTAACGTTAAAAGGTTACTTATTAACTTATTTATTCAGTAGGTACAGTCCTTTTACAAATCAATCGACGCCCATAACACAACGTGAATGCCGTCACCTACCTTGAAACATGAGGTCCAAATCTTAGTTATATTGTTTAACAATTCCGGAACGTATGACCGCGGCAAAGGTATGCATGACGGTAGTATCGGGTGGGTGGATCATAGGGACCCACGTTATGCCCTACCACCAATAAATATAAGCGAGTGATCGTGATACCCTAGTATTATATTCCGAGAACGGTGCTGCCCATTCTCTGATGAATTCCTTAGAGGCCTTTTATTACACTTACGAGAAGAGAGTGCTTCTACTCTAGGCCGACTTCGCTCAGCCATATTATAGATATACAGAGATTTATCGGAGTATAGCTTTCGTTTCTCGTTTGCGTGACTCAAAATGCGTTTCTTCACAAACTATTCTTACTAACTTCGCCAACGTTTTTACCATCGCAACACCCGCCACCGGAATAGAGTTCATCCAAACTACCTGGAGTCAGTGCGGGTGACACACACTACAGTGCGTTTTCAGAGATCATTTTTGCCACGTACCATCCGGAATGAGCTTCTCTCCACGGTGTTTCCCGAGCGCTTTGACATGTCCTTCTTCAAACGAGGCTTGTGGAGAGCATTAGTGGAAGACAGCGGCTTGGCTCTGCCCCTGGCATTGCTGAAGTCCATGAGCGACGGTAACCACTCACCATCAGGTGGGCCGTATGCCCGTCTGCCTACAAGGGCAACAAAAAAAGAAATGCCTGTGGAGTCTCTTATAGTAGGTACATCTGATCGTAAGTAATCGAATTCATTCATAAACGTCAGCAATGCCAGCCAAGCTACCTGTCATAATTTATTGTTATCAACGAAATAAGCATCTAAGCAATATTAAATAAATAAATAAAAAACCAAGAATTTCTATAATATATCCTAATAAGGAGCATTAGAAATTAGAATGTAATGTTGATCATGCATTTAATGTTTCTCGTTTTACCGGTAACGAGTAAGATTCACGTCAACCGGAAATGGGGTCAAGTGACTTCCGAATCACGTTTTATTCATTTATGTACCGCCGATGATACGATAATACGATCATGGAATGCATTTTACATGTCCTCATTGGTGTCACAGCTGGAAAGTACAGTTTCAAGTAGTTCCCGTCACGGTACTGTTTGATTCGGTTTGATTATCGCATCAACAGTGAGGCAACACGGCTCTTGGCGACTCACCTTCGATCTGATGCAAGAAGTTCCCGAAATAGCTATACTCGCTCAAAACTACCAGTACCCGATATCAATACTGTGTGGCCATGGTTTGAAGCGTAGGATAGTTGGTAGACAGAGATTGTGCTGTGCGTGTTGTTGACTAATGTTGACGTCCACTTTTTTCCCCTACCTATGCTGATAGCCTCGAGAGGCTATTTCAGCTTCGCCTTGACGTGTAGGTGAGTTTACGGGGCTCAAACCGGGAGTATTGCTAACACTGACCCTAGCAAGAGCAATGCTTCACAGAAACTACCACCGAATAGGAAACGCGACCCACTTAGAAGATCCGGCGAGAAACTCAGTGGGCTATGTCTATGGGTAATTTACTCGCCGAGACCTTCGTCGCAAGCGACGGGTTCGACGAGGACGGTCACCGGAGACATTCATGAGTGTCGTCAACCACTATCAGGGAGGCCGTATACTCGTCTGCTTATAATGGCAAAAAATCGTCTTTATTCCAATGTGATTAAGATTTCAACTCTCACCATGTTTCATGTTGAGCAACGGTATTCATATTATGACATTTACGGACTTGAAGAATCGCTTGGCGTCTACCTAACTAAGCTGGTAACTAAAACTACGAATTCTTAATTCAACTCATAAGATCGATTGTTGAGTCTTTTTTTATTTTTTTTTATTGCTTAGATGTGTGGACGAGCTCACAGCCCACCTGGTGTTAAGTGGATACTGGAGCCCATAGACATCTACAACGTAAATGCGCCACCCACATAAGTTCTAAGGTCTCAGTATAGTTACAACGGCTGGCCCACCCTTCAAACGGAAACGCAATGCTGCTTCACGGCAGAAATAGGCAGGGTGGTGGTACCTACCCGTGCGGACTCACAAGAGGTCCTACCACCAGTAAATAGTCAGTAGACTGTTTAAATGTCGTAAATTACGCAATAGGTATGCTCTGTTTTATTTGACTGGAACAAAAGCAAGCTATGTTACGTGTACAATATAGAAATGTATAAAAAAAAAACAATTGTAACATATAAGATATGGTATATAAATTGCTTATAAAACTATCGTAACAGCCCTTTAGTTAAGTTTTAATGTTCTAACTATTTATATAGTGTGTTAACTTATATGTGTAAAAACATTTTTTTTAAAGACATTTATTCGATTACTTGTGGTTTTATAATATTTGATGTGTAGGTACGCAGACTATCCGTCCTGTTTTAAACTAGAACGCGGCGCCAATTCGAATACGTTTAATGTGTAATTCAGAGCGATAACGACGATGATAAATTTTTGTAAAAACAAAAGCATGTACCTGCCAAAAAAACGCAGGCCAACGTTTTTGTTTACTATTTTTTGTCTTTCAAAGTAGACACATGCCCGTAGGTCGATATGAGCCTGACATTGTTTCATAGGGACCATCGGCTAAACTTGTCGACGACACGATATTCTGAGTCACCATCCTAAAACAATGCTGTGCAGTTTGATACATTCTTTCTAACTAATGTCACTTTTTTCCGTCAAATAGTTTTTCGGCGATAATTTTTTCTTAAAATAAAATAAAATATGCATAGTGCCGTCTAAGATTAGCATAATTGTACGATCATTAAAGCAATTCGTAGAAATAACAGAATTGTTCAGAATATAGGTCACACATATTCTATTTCGAATTAAATCGTGCGACAGCCATTTCGTTGACTGCGTACACTTGTTCGCATTGTGATCGAGACCGTAATTGTGGCCAATAAAGTGATTAATTCAACCAACAAATACACTGACGATCCAGTANTCTAAGATTAGCATAATTGTACGATCATTAAAGCAATTCGTAGAAATAACAGAATTGTTCAGAATATAGGTCACACATATTCTATTTCGAATTAAATCGTGCGACAGCCATTTCGTTGACTGCGTACACTTGTTCGCATTGTGATCGAGACCGTAATTGTGGCCAATAAAGTGATTAATTCAACCAACAAATACACTGACGATCCAGTATGAATTAAGGTCAGAGTACCTTAGGCGGCTGTTACAGTTCCAATGGTCAATTTATTAAACGAGATAGTTTATAGCTATTTTATTATTATAGCAATAAGTATATGTTATATAGCATTGATTGTTCTGTTTCGTGTTCGGATAATTTAACTATTTTGTAGTGTAGATGTTAAAAATATACTATTTCAAAAATCTCCGTGGCATTCTTTAAACGCACTTCTATAAATATTATTCATTAGGGAACCCGTGCTAGTGTTATCATAACTGTCATAAGGAGTATGTGTGTTTTCTCGTATTAACTTATCTTGTACGAAGCTAAGAGCAATGAACTTTCCGAGGGATCTGGATAAATAAGTATTGGTTGAGTTGTGTGCGTGCCGTGATCCACTAAATACAGCTCAATGCTAATGTTGCTACAAAAGGGTTGCGTCATCGATCTGTTTTCCAGATTTTCACGTGAGCTTATCTCATAAAATAAAGCAACCAATGATATATTAATTTTATTCAATTGCGAATGATTCATTCTATATCATTTTAATAGCTTTGCAATTTAAACGGCATTTGGAAAATATATTTCATTCATTGAAACGTATATATTTCGTTTCAAAAATGAATATTAGTTTACTTTTCATACGTATGTAAAGATATTTTAATAATTTCCACACTTATCCCCGTGACCAGTGCAACCAGATCTTCGCCTACGCATACAAGATTTCCAACTAACAGGTTCTTGTGGACATAGTAAAGTTATTCTAAAGCCCATAATATTCCATTCACCACAGGAAACTTCAGATGACAGATAAAAATATTCATTTGTAGTTTAAATATTGACGCCCAACCGTGAAAGTTCTGACAGTGAAATAATTATGTATTATAAACGACAGGAATCAAATATTTAAAGCCATGGAACTGATTTTGCGTAAATGTCGTATATTCAATTCAAAGACTGATACAAAATCTATAGTTCTATAGATCTTCTAAAAAGTAGGAGAAGGCACCCTAAAAAGACTGATGAATTGTGTGAAAGAGAATAGAACAAGAGAAGATGTGTGCAGATATGACGTATGATAAGCCCGAATGGACAAAAAAGACAT